TTCATTTCCCATCACCCCATGCCTGATATTTAATACATGCACAGCTGCTGATCATCACCATACCTATTTAGGCAGTGCCTACCTTACCCTCGTTGCGAAGTCTTGTTTTTGCTACTGCTGACATTACTGAGCGTTCATACCTTGTTTGATTACCTGTTGCCTACCTGGATTGTTTAGACCTGTCTGATTGTTCGCTGCTCGCCTCTTTGACCTTGCTCTGTTTTTGGATTTACTCTCTCCTCTGTCTGCCGCCGGCCTCGACCCTTTGCATGGACTCTGGTTATTATTCTGCCTTGCCTACGTTACCCCTGCATACTGTTGACTGAACTTTGCCTGTCTGATTGTTAATAAAGCTGCACATGGATCCCAACATCACTGAATCGTCATTACAGTGTCTGGAATGATTTTTGTTGGCGAAATATAGCAAAAACAGCTAATATGGTGTCTAAAACGCAAGATATTTCTTGTTTACTGAATTGTTGTATAAAATCAATATCACATTTGTAACCATGCTTTAAAAAAAAACGTGATATTGATTAACTGTATGAAATTATATAAATATAGTCGTTTTCTCATTATAACGACTTAATTTTCTCGTGATCTCGACATAACGAGTCGTTTTCTCGTTATAACGACTTAATTTTTTCGTGATCTCGACATAACGAGTCGTTTTCTCGTTATAACAACTTAATTTTCTCGTGATCTCGACAAAGTTTTATTTTTATTTATTTTTTTACAATGATTGTTTGATCTACTGTTGCTATAGTAACGAACTCAACTTTGACATGCATCTGATGGACAGATAAACCATGCGCTCTTACTGTAGCCTATGTCATGGATATTTCAGCAAATTTTGCTTTGACTAGTAATAACGTCTACAATACATAAATAAAGGCTGATCAATCACTGTTGATATTTCCAGAGACAGTACGCTAAACATTTTGTTTGTGTAATTAACATGTTTAAATGGTCAAAGCAACACCGCAAACACAGGCGGAGCGCCTTCAGGATGCAGAACTATTCTGAAATCTTTTAGAGCTGCTTGAATTCAACTCACTTTTAATTTTCCTTTTATTTGAAAGAAAATTAGATATAATTTGTAATCTTTAGTACTCATTATATGCTGTGACTGATATCATGTGCGTTAAGCTTTCTTTTTTTATAAGAGCGTTCATGTGTATGTGTATATGTGTGTGTGTGTTTGTGTGGTTTCCACAAAGAAATGTAGAAAACACTAAATATTACAACACTGTAGAACATCACTGAATTAAATTAGCCTACAAATCACATTTCTTATCAATATACGTTTAATGATTAACAATAAAGATTAATAAGGAAAAGAGGCACATTACAAATAGCCTACGTCGTTGAAGCCCGTCCTACTGTAGATAAACAGATCCCCGCTTATTAACTAACAATCATGTACCTCAAAGAAGCACAAATAAAGATATAGGTGCAAACAGAATACAGTGATGTCAACCTTGGTTTTAATAAGCAATTATTTTATGACACAGAATGCGTTGGTGAAACTCATGCATCTAGCAAGAACGTAATATACAAAATAGTCATATTGATTCAAGCAACATTAACATTTATGAATGAATTAAATGTCAGTAATGAACAATACTGCACAAATTATAGCGATCACGAGGAAGGTCCTATTCTATCCCAAATGCCTACAGTAAAGTGGATACCGTATAGCCTACAACACCCCATCAGTTATATTCAGGTCAATAGTGCCACCTGTTGTAAATTAAGTCGTTATAACGAGAAAACAAGAAGGGGAAAAAATAATAATGCATGGCTGCTTAGAACTTCCGTAAGGACCTCTAGCTGTCAATTATAGTATTGCGGCCTGAACCAGGAAGTTATTTTAAGAGTCAAAGCCCATGGTGAAGATCGTTCCAGCTGCAATAATCATTTGTTATGGATTATGTAACAGAATACATCTTATGCATGTTAACAATCCTCAGATTGCTCTTAGGAAAGCCTGGGACAGGCTGGTCGAGTGTTATGCTTCACCAGAGGTAATCGAAGATGCGCTGTTCAAGAAACTAGACATGTTTACTAAAATTTCCAACAATGATTCTGCGAGACTAAGGGATCTAGGAGATCTTCTCATGGAAATCTTATCAGCAAAACAAGATGGACACTTGTCTGGCTTAGCTTTTTTGGATACCGCTCGAGGCATCAGTCCTATAGTAGCAAAGCTCTCACACAATCTTCAAGAGAAATGGGTAACCCAAGGATCCAAGTTTAAAGCAGATCACAACGGGCTTTTTTCCCCCTTCTCATTCTTTGCGGAGTTCATTTGCTATGAGGCACGTATCAGGAATGATCCCAGTTTTTCACTCATTTGTTCCAGCGATATCCACTCAAAGGAAAGACCAATTCCTAGGATGACGAGAGTTTCAGTGTCAGCTCACAAAACAGATGTTGTCAGGGACAGGAGAGTAGAAAATCTAGAAAGACACTGTCCAATACACAACAGACCACACCTTTTGAAAAGGTGTCGTGCTTTTAGAGCCAAACCTATTGAGGAGAGAAAATCTTTCCTCCGTGAAAATAGGATATTCTACAAGTGTTGCACATCCAGTACTCATCTGGGCAAAGATTGCAAGGTAGCTGTCGTGTAATGAATGCGAGAGTAAACTCCATGTCACAGTCATGCACCCAGGCCCACCTTCTCAAGTGCCTAAGTCTCCTACACCCCAAGAGAGCCATGGAGCAGAAGGAGATGACAATGAATTGTCAACATCCACAGTAATGTCTCACTGTACTCAGATCTGCATCAAGAGGCAACCAGGGAAATCATGCTCTAAGATATGTTTGGTGCGTATGTTCCCTCAGAATCAGCCAGAGAAGGTTGTCAAAATGTGTGGCTGTACTAGACGATCAGAGCAATCGCTTATTGGCTAAATCTGAATTTTTTTTTTTGATTGTTTAGCATTGACAGCGAACTTTCTTCTTATTCCCTCTGAACATGTGCTGGGGTTATGAATATATCTGCCAGGAAAGCTGAAAGGTTTGTGATCTCACCAGCTGCAGGAGGGGCTTCTTCTGCTCTACCACCGCTCATAGAGTGCAATCAAATACTCGCCAGCAGATCTGAAATACCTACCCCAAGTGTAGCCTTGAATCATGCTCACTTGAGGTCAATATCATGCCAAATTCCCAAACTCGACCCCAACACCCAGATACTTCTCTTACTGGGGAGAGACATTATAAGGGTGCACAATGTCAGACAACAAATTAATGGCCCACACGATGCACCCTTTGCCCAAAGGTTAGACTTAGGGTGGGTTGTAGTCGGGGAGGTATGTTTTGCGTAATGCCCATATACCTAGTGTAAGCACCTTCAGGACCAATATACTAGAGAATGGCCGCACCACTTACCTTTAACCCTGCACCAGTTACATGAATCTAAAAGAGGAAGCTCCTAACAGCGGGGAGCCGAGGAATGTTATCTTCGGAGCATGCAAAAACAGCATGTACAGAACCTCAGAAAACCTTCTCGGTTGTGATGTGTTCCAAAGGACTGAGAACGACAATGAACTTGCCCCGTCCATTGAGGACACAGCATTCTTAAGGATCATGGATTCTCAGGTTTACAGGGATGAAGAAAACAGTTGGGTTGCTCCATTGCCCTTCAGAGTGCCAAGACAAGCACTCCCCAATAATCGTGAACAAGCTCTTAATAGATTCCATTCTCTGCAACGTACCCTTAAAATGAAACCAGAGATGGAAAAACAGTTTGTCACTTTCATGAAGAAAATTCTGGAGAATAACCATGCTGAACCTGCACCACCACTAAAGGAGGGAGAGGAGTATTGGTTCTCACCGATCTTTGCGGTTTACCACCCAAAAAAGCCGGACCAAATCAGGGTGGTTTTCGACTCTAGTGCCCAACATCATGGCATCTCCCTCAACAAAGTCTTGTTAACCGGCCCTGATCTGAACAATAACTTGTTGGGAGCCCTTCTTCAATTCCGTAAGGAACCCATAGCCATCACAGCTGACATCAACAAATGTTCCATTGTTTCAAAGTCAGATAGGACCATCGTAACTTTCTTAGGTTCCTCTGGTTCAGAGACAGTGACCCAACAAAGGATGTCATAGAGTACCGCATGAAGGTACATGTGTTTGGCAATAGCCCTTCCCCGGCAGTTGCCATTTATGGGCTAAGGAAAGCCGCTAGCGAAGGTGAAAAAGTACATGGGTCAGATACTAGACAGTTTGTGGAAAGACACTACTACGTGGATGATGGACTCGTGTCCCTACCCACTGATGACCAGGCAATCAGTCTCCTCAAAAGAACACAAGCATCCTTAGCTGAATCGAACCTTCGTTTGCATAAGATTGCTTCAAACAGCGCCGTTGTTATGCAAGCCTTTCCTCAAATGGAACATGCTAAAACTGTAAAGGACTTAGACCTTAGTGGTGCGGTTCCTCCTATACAACGGACCCTTGGGTTGTGTTGGGAAGTAGCAGGCGACACTTTCACCTATGAAGTGTCATCAGTCAATAAACCATTCACAAAACGTGGTGTGCTGTCCACTGTGAACAGCATGTTTGATCCACTTGGCATGGTCTCTCCAGTCACCATACAAGGCCGAGACCCACTGCGGGAACTCTCGAACTATACCTCTGACTGGGATGCTTTACTTCCCAAAGAAACAAGGAAAG